TCAAAAAATTAGCCGAGCGTGGTAGCACGCACCTGTAGTTCCAGCTACTTGGAAGGCTGAGGCGGAAGGACCGCCGGAGCCCAGCAGGTTGAGGCTGCGGTGGCCGGGAACGGCTACTGCACTCCAGTCTGGGCGACAGAGTGAGACTCCAACTCAAAAAAAAAAAAAAAAAAAAAAAATATATATATATATATATATATGTATGTATGTATTTCATTGAGATATTGACAAGATTAAATTATATAATATATAAAAAGAGCTTAGAAAGTGTGGTGCATTAATAATGATCAAATTGGCCAGGCTCAGTGGCTCAGCCTGTAATCCCGCACCTTAGGAGGCTGAGGTGAGTGAATTGCCTGAGCCTGTGGGTTTGAGACCCGCCTGGGCAACTTGGTGAGACCTCATCTCTACAATAAATCAAAAAATTAGCCGGGTGTGGTAGCGCGCACCTGTAGTTCCACCTACATGAAAGGCTGAGGCGGAAGAATCGCCGGAGCCCAGCAGGTTAAGGCTGCGGTGGCCAGCACCGGCCACTGCACTTCAGTCTGGGTGACAGAGTGAGACTCCAACTCAAAAAAATAAAAATAAAAACAAAAATAATGATCAAATTGGTTGCAGTGATAATGGTGGTAGTGATTGTTCGGTTTCTCATTTGTTAAACAATATATTAGAGTGTGACAGGTGCTGAAAATAAAATCATGAACAAATAGTATCTCAGGTTGTGACAGGTGCTGAAAATAAAACCATGAACAAAATAGAACAGCTCTTCCAGAGCTTACAGTCTAGTAGTGACTAGGAAATCACTAACTTCTTAACTATTCTCTTGGGCTTTTGGACTCCCTGCCCTTCTAGGCACCCAAAAATGTGTGTACTCCTAGTTCATGTCTTCTAATGTCCTAATTCATGCTTGTTGGTTTGTCATTTGCTCCAACCCTCATTGTTCTTTGTTCATATGAATTCTACTCCACTCTAGCTCTCAAGGTTTTCAGCTGAAAACAACTTCTTATCTGTGAGACCAGTCCCCAAGGTTGCTCCTTTTGGGCAGATATATTAGACACAAACTTGTATATCATTACTGATCAACACCCCTCAACTACCCTTGTGGTTCCGGAGTATGGTAATCCCTGAGAAAATAGTTGTAATCTCAGGGTGAGTAGCACCCAGACCTGAGTTTGACATTCCAGGGCCATTCATTTTCTGTGCATTTTCTAGTTTGTGAGCCATTGCCTACTTCTTGGCATATTCTGACTTTCCCAGACACATTCCTGCCATCTTAACCAATCAACACATTTTGTGGGCTCTGATGAATATCTCCATTAGTGTCCTATCTGGATCCATCTTGCTGCACTCCATCTGTTGACCCAAAGGAGTACTGGTTCCAACCTGCTTTAATCTAGCAAAGCTGAGCTTTTCACTCATCTAAAATTTGAGATGACTTGCAGCCCAAAACTTCTTAGGGTCCCAAGGAAAGAGAACTGCGTTAGGAGTTAGAAGTTCTACATTAGCCGGGCGTGGTAGCGTGCGCCTGTAATTCCGGTTACTTGGAAGGCTGAGGCGGAAGGATCACCAGAGCCCAGCAGGTCGAGGCAGCGGTGGCTGAGAGCCTGCCACTGCACTCCAGTCTGGGCGACAGAGTGAGAATCCAAGTCAAAAAAAAAGTTCTACATGTACTTACAATGTAATAACATCATTTGTTCATTCACTTATTCATTCAACATACATCAGGTACCTATTTCAGGCCAAATACACTAGGTGGTAGATGCATACAGACAGGAATAAGACAGTTGCCTACTCATAAAACTTTCCAGTAGGGAAAGATGTGAATATGTATTACATTACAATGTGAGATCAGTATAATGAACTGTATGGGTGACAAAGAAGGAAAGCACTGATGCCTGGACAAGTCAGGAAAAGTTTTCATTTCTCATTTCACAGATGAGGAAAGCCAAGATTATTATCAAGTTAGGGAGATATGAAGTACTAAGAAAAGGAAAAGCATTAGGGTCTTAGGAGGGGTAGAAAATCTAGGTTCCAGCCTCATGACCACACTTAGATGCTATTAACCTACAAGCAAGGCATTCATTCATTCAAAGAATTCAGTAGAATAGGAGATCACACTATATACAAGACACTGTGCCAGTAGCTTCCATTTCCTCATCTGTTGTGTCTGCCAAGTTATCTCATAATATTGTGAAAATCAGATGAAATTATGTAAATGAAAGTTTATTAACTATAGAATAACATCAATATTCTTACTTTCATCGATTTTCACACCTTACAAAGTACTCCTATTGCTGGGCGCAGTGGCTCATGCCTGTAATCCGAGCACTTTGAGAGGCAGAGGCGAGAGAACAGACTGAGCCCAGGGGTTTAAGACCAGCCTGGGCAATGCAGTGAGACACCGTCTCTACAATAAGTCAAAAAATTAGCCAGACGTGGTAGCATGCACCTGTAGTTCCCCCTACTTGGAAGGCTGAAGTAAAAGGATCACCTGAGCCCAAACAGGTCGAGGCTACGGTGGTCATGAGCATGCCACTATACTCCAGCCTAGGTGACAGAGTGAGATTACAACTCAAAAAAAAAAAAGTACTACTTACATTATTCTTTATAATCTTTTTTTTTTTTTTTTTTTTTTTTGAGTTGGAGTCTCACTCTGTCACCCAGACTGGAGTGCAGTGGCTGCTCCCGGCCACCGTAGCCTCGACCTGTTTTTTAAAATTTATTTTGAGTCGGAGTCTCACTGTCACCCAGGCTGGGATGCAGTGACACAATCATGACCACCGTAGCCTCGACCTGCTGGGCTTAGGCGATCCTTCCGCCTCAGCCTTCCAAGTAGCCGGAATTACAGGCATGCGCTACCACGCCCGGCTGATTTTTTGATTTATTGTAGAGATGAGGTCTTGCTGCCCAGGTGGGTCTCGAACCCGCGGGCTCAGGCAATCCACTCATCTCAGCCTCCCAAAAGCGGGGGATTACAGGCTGAGCCATGGAGCCCGGCTTCTTTATAATCTTTACAACAATTCCATGCAGTGGGAACATCTGCACCTTACAGATAGAAAAGTGAAGCACAGAGAGGTTAAAGGTCATACAGCAACCAAGAGATGGAACTCGGGTCTGATGCAAATTTCATGACTTGTCTTATAAGTAAATGGAAAGTATTAATTAACACTTCAAGACAAACAGAGGTAAGGATGGTCACAAGATTGCATATGATTAGGTGTCAAAAGATAAAACAAGCCGGGCTCGGTGGCTCAGTCTGTAATCCCAGCACTTTGGGAGGCTAAGGTGAGAGGACTGCCTGAGCCCACCGATTAAGACCAGACTGGGCAACTTAGCAAAAACTCATCTCTACAATAAAAATTTTAAAATTAGCCAGGCGTGGTGGTGTGTGCCTATAGTTCTAGCTACTTGAAAGGCTGAGGCAGAAGGATCATCTGGGCCCAGCAGGTTGAGGCTGCAGTGGCCATGAGCGTGCCTCTGCACTCTAGCCTGGGCAAAAGAGTGAGATTCCAACTCAAAAAAAAAAAAAAAAAAAAGATAAAACAGACCAGGAGTTCAGAAAATAAGTAGGCAGAGAGGCAGAGGGGGGCTCAGTGGCACCTGTGTGTAGTCCTAGCTACTCAGGAGGATGAGGCAAGAGGATCACAGGAGTTTGAAGCTACAGTGTACATGATCATGCCTGTGAATAGCCATTGCGCTCTAGCCTGGGCAACATAGTGAGATCCTGTCTCTGAAAAAAGTAGAATAAGATAAAACAAAGACACTTGAGCCAGAGTGGTCAGAAAGGTTTTATGGAAGAGAGACCTGAGCTGGGCCATGAAGGATGGAGCATTTGGATAGATGGTGAAAAGGGAGGGAGCATTCCAAGTGAGAAGCCATCACAAGATTCAGGATCAGAAATTGAGTATTTGTCAAATAATGAAAAGACTAACTGCTCAAAGCAGGAGGGCTAAATGAAAGAGTAAAACTCACTAACAAAGGAGTCTGGAAGGAACAACTAGCACCAGACTCAGAGAGGATCTTTATGCCCTTGCATCTTTACATGCTGGCCTTAATGACATATTTCCATGGGCTCTTCTGGAGTATAGAATGATCGGAAATAGTATTCCTTGAAAAATACCTCTACATTTCAGCATTCCTCAAAACCAAGGCAAACAGAACATGAAAGTGGAGTCACCAATGTGAACATCTTTAACAATGAAATTTTGAAACTTTCTGACTTTTTTCTATTATCCTTGCACCAGATCTGGCCAAATTCTCATAACTTGGCTAAGATGACAAGTGCGTCATTCATAAAGGATGAAGTGCGGCTTGGGTCCTTAGACACTCAGGGGCAATCCCAAAGTAACTACTGGTGGATCCATGAGTTGCAACGACCATACCGACCATCATAGAGGTATATTCTCCACATAATGCCCAAAATAAAGATTTAATATAAATTGCTAAAACTAGTCATTAATCAAAACAACATGATAAACTGAAATAGCACAATAGAAATCTGTTAAGATAACGGAGGAAGGCTAAGGAATGCATCTACAGTTGTTTATATGGTTTTATGACAGTCATTTAAATAAGGTTTTGGAAATAAGAATGTAGTTTATTATGAGTCTTTCCTTATCACCACGCATCTTCACATTCTAATCAGTTCAGCAAGTCAAAACTGTATTCTTGGAGGAAAAAAACTCTGAAAGTTGATGACTAAACGCAAAAATAAAATGGCCCGCCCAAGGTCATGTAGTTTATAGGGACCGTATCCTGGTGTCGTATCTCTCACTGTGGAACTCTCCACTCACCCGCCACTGGCCGGAGAGCGGCATGTGGTAGGGGCGTGGCATAGGTTAGCGCAGCCGAGTTCGGCGGCGGAGAGACGCCGCATGGGCTGCTGGGAAGGGCCTCGTTTGTCCCGGCGTCTCATAACCGGATCCCTTCGCGCCGCCACCGCTCAGCTCTGCTCTCTGCACCCTCTCCCTCGCGCCCTGCGTGCGTGGACTCGGGGTTACCTTTTTCAGAATTCCGCTCATTCTTTGCTACCGCGGCCTCTAAGAGTGCAAATCGAAGACCCGCCCGCCGCAGCCGCAATCCCTCAGCGTCTGAAAACACTGACGGAACGGCTTTGAGCGGGTCCAGTAGCAATATCCGACCGAGACTTCTTAACTCCCGCAGCAACTTGGTTCCGGCAGCTTCTGAGACAGCATCTAGAAGCTGACTACTCTTGGGTCTCACTCAGATGTCACCTTCACTATTTCTCCAGGCAGAATTAATTGGCATCTCTGTGTTATCCCAGTACTTTGCACACAATTCTGTGATTTCACTTACCATACTATATATTAATTATTTGTTACTATCTCTTCTCCGTATTTGTTAGAGTTCTTCAATGACAGATTCTGTCTGATTAATTCATTTCAGCGTCTAGCACAGATCTGACTTCTAACTTCAAGTTAGGAGCTGACTGACCCTAAGTGAATCTTTTTAAAAATTATTTTTATTTAAAGATTTGGGGTACAATTCAGGTATACAAATGGTCGTTGTACAGGTAAAGTTTGGTCCTCACTTTGGTCTCCACCTGGTTTAAGATCAGATACCCTTATTGATGAAGTTTGCCCTCCCCCTTTCTGCCATTCAGTTGACTCATAATAATTGAGAATAATTACATTTTGAGTGGCCACTATATGCGATACATTATACTTGCTGCATCATGCAATTTATTCCTCACAAGCTTGTTAAGGAGATATTATCACTTGATTTTTTTTTTTTTTTTAAGTTGGAGTCTCACTCTTGCCCAGAATGGCCTCAACCTCCTGACTCAGGAGATCCTTCTGCCTCAGCTTCCCAAAGTGCTGGGATTACAGGTGTGAGCCACTGGTCAAGCCTATCGCTTGACTTTGACATTGATATTAAGGACTCAAGAGGTTTAAGGGATTTATCTGGTATCAATCTACTGAGGCAGAACTGAGTTTTTGCAAGTGTTTTCCCTCTGACACACCCCTTCTCACTTGAGATAATAATGTCACTGCCATGTATTCATTTACTTACTTTACACACACTATTGCTATTTACTTAGCATTACTTTGTGCCAGTCCTTTGATCAGACCCTGGGAACATAGATGAATATTACATAGACCCTGTCCTTAAATGGACCGTAGGGATTAGTGAGGAAGCCAAGTCAAAAATAAGCAATTATAAAGAAATAAGGGCCAGGCTTGGTGGCTCAGCCTGTAATTCCGCGCCTTTGGGAGGCTGAGGTGAGTGGATTGCCTGAGCCTCGGGTTCGAGACCCACCTGGGCAGCAAGACCTCATCTCTACAATAAATCAAAAAACCAGCCGGGCGTGGTAGTGCATGTCTGTAATTCTGGCTACTTGGAGGGCTGAGGCGGAAGGATTGCGGGAGCCCAGCAAGTCACTGCACTCCAGTCTCGGCGACAGAGTGGGACTCCAACTCAAAAAAAAAAAAGAAAGAAGGAACTCGAGTTACAGAAATGTACACATAAACTCTTAGTACAAAAGGAATACATGAGCACATAAATTCAGCATCAAGTGAAATAACAAATATACAGTTATTTTCATTATTGCTATTATCAGTTCTGCTACTGTTATTATTCTTGGCAAGGAAAAAGTACAAAAACTAGTAAATATGAATGGGGCTTCAATGACAGAAAGTTTGTTCTGTTGTCAGAATCCCTGCCAAGATCCCTTATCCTAATTTTTTACCAATGTTTCCTGTGATGAAATTCAAGGAACTATAGAGAGCTATGTAGGTAAATCTTTTTCCCACAAAGGTAGCCCTTCTTCCCTCTAGGGCAGAGTTGCTAGGAGACTGCTGATTAATTTTATGTTAGCTGGGCAATAGGGTTCCCAGAACTTTGGTCAAACGTTATTCTGAATATTTCTATGAGGGATTTTCGAATGAGATTAATGTCTCTTTATTTATTTTAATTTTTAATTTTTTTTAAGAAATTAGGTCTACTCTGTCCCTCAGGTTGTAATATGGTTGTGCAATCATAGCTTACTGCAGCCTTGAACTTCTGGGCTCAAGCCATCCTCCCACCTCTGCCTAAGATTCACATTTAGCCGGGCTTGGTGGCTCAGCCTGTAATCCCGCGCCTTTGGGAGGCTGAGGTG